GCAACTTACGCGAATATCTCTAGAAAGAGGATGCGAGCACAGTACACCGGTGCAAGTCCGATCAGATATCTGGAGGCTCCCAACTCCGTCGGACAACTTATCCACTCCGTTCTGGGAATCTGCCGAAGCGGCAGCAGCCTTGGAAGAAGCAGCAGAAGCCGCCGCCACTGCTTTCCCCCCTCTTTTGGCCGCGGCAGCCGCCTTTTTCTGCGCCGCCTTCTTCTTGCTAGCGTCTGACACCATCTTGAATCCTGATCACCATAACAGATCTAAAGTAAACAAATTGAAGCAAATCAGACAAGACAGCAGAAATTAGATTCTGGAAGAAGAAAATGAACCTGAAGGGTGATGGAAGAGTGAAGATTGATGTCGGGTTCCGGTCCGGCGTAGAGACTTGAGACGCCGGTGATGAACAAAACACAGAAAATTAGGGTTAACGAGGAGATTTGGGAATTTATAGGGAAAGGAATGGAAGGGATGACACGTGTCAGAAAGATACGCGCCAAGTTTTAGTCTGCTTTCCGTCTTGAATGTAACTTCTGTTGTTGGATTGGGCTTTGAATCAAAAAGATCAGCAGCCCACTAGAAAAAATAATTAAAAATCACCAGCCCATTGGATCAATAAGAGAAAGTTAGGGATTCAACAGAGTTATGAGAGGTGAAAATGACAGGTGGAAAGAGGTAAAATCTGAAACTGAAAGGATTTTCGAAGTTTTAGGAATCAGAGTTTGGGGGTTGTTTTATCTCTGAATCAGAGTTTTGGTATTTTTCGATGTACTGTTGTCTCTGTTGTTGAACGCAATTTGCTGCCGATGTTTAATGTTTACAGTGTTGATTATTCACAAGAGGAAACAGTATCGTCACTGTTTAACTTGTTAAAATCATCGATTTAACTGTAAATATATGTTAACTATACAAATAATTTAATAATCATCTCATTTCATCGAAAAATAAGGGATTTTGAGTTCGAATTGCATTACATGCGATTGAAATAAGATAAAATATGAAAGATGATTACTTCTCATTAAACAATCAAGATAAAAAAAAATATATAATTATATTAGTTTATAACTTTTTTTAACAGTAGATTATGGTATTTAAAAGTATATGTTTACAAATTAATTTTACTATGTTAAATGATAAATATTAATTTTTTTTGTCAATTATCAATTATTTTTAAGAATTAAATTAAGATAAAATTTGATAATTATCAGTGATCTTAACAAATTGTTAAAGGATGGCCATAACCCGATGTTAGTAGTAGTCTAGTAGATTTTTTAGTTTTTGAATAGCTCAACGTTGTAACTTTATACCATGCGTTAGGCTCTTTATGCTTCCTATTAGACCTGGCAGACAGACGGGTTGGGTCAGGTTTGGATTGGGTCAATTCAGGTGACGGGTTACATGGGTTGGGTCATGAACAGATTGTAGGTTAAAAAAATCTAATCCTAACCCGAACGTAACGAGTTACGGGTTAATCTATGGGTTAACTTTATTTTCATTCTTTATAATTATTTTTTATTAATTTTATTATATACAAATAAAATTATATATATTTAAATCTAATTAAAATATTGTGATTCATTAAAATTAAATACTTTATAGTTTCAATCATAAACAATTAAATTAAAAAAAAAACATAAAGTTATAAATAATAATAAGTTGATTAACAATAACAATATTAAACGTAAAATATTTAAATTTCTTGAAAAATAAAGTTTTAATTCTATAAGCATCTTAAAACATTATTAAGTAGTTTAAGTCATTTTTTTAATGATAAATTGCTCTTCCAAAAACATCTTTCACTAAGTTATTATGTTTATGTTCTAGTATCACATCTTTTAATATTTTTAGTTGAATTATCATTTCATTCATTATACTTAGATAATTGTTAATACTAAAAAAAAAAAAAGATACTTGGATAATTAAATCAAACTCATCATAATTTCTTCGTCTTTCTCAAAAAATAAGAGAGTACGAATTAATGGAAAAAGTTACCAATAGAAAAATTAATTAAGAATAATATGTATAATATTTAAAAATAATAATAAAAAATAAAACAAACAGGTCAACCTGTCAACTCGCGGATTGACCCTAACTCAACCCGTCACCAGTACGGATGGATAAATACGAGTTATTTACGAGTTGCAGGTTGGGATATGTAGACTTTAATCCGTTTTTATAAGTCGGGTTAGGATCAGATTAGAGTCGAGTTGACAGGTCGGGTAAATTTTTGCCAAGTCTACTTACTATGCTGGAAATTTGTTAGGGCGCTCAAAGCATGACAATTCTAACGAGGTATAGTTACGTGCAGGGGCAGAGCCAGAAATTTGAGTTAAGGAGGGCAAATTTT